AAATTGTATGTTTTTGCATTATTTATTCATTTTATGCAAAAAAAAAAAAAAAAAAAAAAAAAAAAAAATCTAGGGAGATTGGGGAAAGGGGCGTAGGGGCCTCCCGTGGGAGTGGAGGGTATCTCCCTTGGCCCATGACTATAAATGTTCTAAACTATTCAATAAATGACACTATTTGATGTTTTATTCAAATAAATGTTTTAAAAAATATTTTAATTGTTTTTGTTACAAAAATAAAATTTTTCAAAAAAGACACCATTTTTAAATGCAAATTTTGATCACGTATTAAAGAGACAATTGATGAATCTAATTTTTTTCAGTAGACCTAAGATGAACTAATGATATACAATTAAAATTTTTACTCGGGATTTTGGGCCACAGTCTTTATTTTACCTCCAAAAATCACTAATTTACAAGTCAATAATTTTGAACAAAATTGGATAAATGAGGCATTTCTTGAGATAATCGAGTCTTAAGAGTGCTATTTTTGGATTCCTCAAGTTAAAATCTATTAGAGTACCAAATTTTAGGAAATTTCCCCAAGCCATTATGAAGATACTATATGTCAAAGTTGCTTTGTAGTCGCTTCAGAAAATCACTAAAATGCTGAGTCAGCATTATTTCAAGTGACAATATCTATGGAACCCATTGGTATTTTTAACTAAAATTTTCGCAGTTATTATTTTTTTGATATGGACTGCAAGTGGTGTAAAAATAAACAAATTCTGAGACGTAAGGGTGTCATGGTCTGTATGATTTCATATATTTTTACCCTAATAAACTAATAGTTCTAAATTTTAACTAATTCTAATAATTTTAAATTTTAGCAAAACTCATTTTTATTTTATTTGACATATATTTTGTATTTTTACTATTAAAACTGACGCTATAAGTAAGGATTTTAAGGAGACATTTTTCTATTATTTAAAAAGATTTGGTCACGAAAGTCAATTTTTTAAAAGAAAAAATAGCAGAATTAAGGAGAAAATAACTACATTGAACACAGAATCTTATTTTTTTCAATAAATTATATTATATATATATATATATATATATATATATATATATATATATATATATATATATATATATATATATATATATATATATATATATATATATATATATATATTTCTATTGTATATATATATATATATATATATATATATATATATATATATATACAATAGAAATATAGGTTTGCAACCAATCAAAGGACTATATAATTTCTTTATTAATAAGTGTAATCCATTTACTTTAATAAAATTTCCTAGATGATAAAAAAAAGGAGAAATTAAGGAGTGTTTCTTATCGGTTACTTAGTAAATTGCCAATAACATTCCAACACGTGATATAGTGGTTATTCATATGTTATACACTTTTGGCTGCTGCCACTAATAGGCTATTAAGTAAACGATGACCAAAACTGCAATGACCTAAAATGCCTATATAGCTCCACTGAAATTCTGATTTAAATGTTTTTGCTGTGTTATATATTTTTTTACTAAATACTAAAACTAAAACCATAAATTTTCAAAATATCATTATATAAAATCATTTCAAAATATTAAATCAATTCCATCTTTAAATATATTTTTCTTATTATTATTTAAGTTGGATAAGTTACTAAAATATAAATTTTATCAAACAATAAATATAAATATTGATTTTAATTAAAATTATTCAGATTGAACTTTTAAAGAATGATAAAAGAGAAAAATTATTTACATCTATCTTCTAAAGGATACTTTTAGATAATCAGATAATAAAAGAGTAGGATAAGTCACTAATAATTGTCTAATTAAAAAAATTAAACAAGTAATACAGTTGTAAGAAACAGGTGGGTAGAAAATTTCCTTTAAAGTAAAAGAAATTTTTTACCCTCCTGTCTCTTATATAAATGTTACGACTTGTTTAATTTTTTCAATTAGACTTATTTTTTAGTCAAAGTTTTTGAACTTCACTAATAACTAATTACTAAAGTTAAGTAATTGGTTATTAGCGAAGTTCCAAAACTTGATATTGTAATGTTTCAAAAAGTTCATTAACTAATGTACTGGACCAATTATTTCGAATAGAACAATCTAAAAGTTGTTAACTAAAGATATTGAATTATATTGAATTATCAGCATAAACTCTCTGTAATATTAATAAGTTTTCCTTTTGAAAAATATGACCATGCATGAGATTCTGTGATGTCTAAGTCTTTCAAACAGTCAGAACTTGGTTCTTGATATAGTATATCAATTATTATACTTGAAGTACTATATCAAGTGTCAAGTATATACTTAATATATATATATATATATATATATTTATATATATATATATATATATATATATATATATATATATATATATATATTTATATATATATATATATATACATATATATATATATATATATATATATATATATATATATATATATATATATAAATATATATAGTATATCATATATCCAGTTTTTAATTATTTATTTCAATATGTGTATCAATTTCAATATATGTATTAATATTAATACGATTCTCAAGTAATTAAATGTATAAAAATATATATATAAATTAGCAAGAACCTGTCTATAAGTCGCTTTTCATAAGGTGTTTTTAAAATTCTCCTTAAATCTTTGGGAAGTTCCAAACCTTAATTTGGCAATATTTCAAGAAGATCATTAAATAATGTAATGGTTCCATTATAAAATAGCACAATGTTGTCGAGTAAAGACATTTAATTTTTTTTTTTTTTTTATTTGCATTCACTCCCAACAAGGCTGCAAGCAACCACTATTAAGTTGGGAGTTACTAGGAAAAAAAAAAAGAACAGAGTTATAGAGCATAGAAACGGTTGACAGAAGACTTGAAAAGTTGAAGGTTGTATGAGTAAGGAAAACATGAAGATGGGAGAGAGTTGCAAAGGATTGAAGTGCGGGGAAAAAAACTAGATGAATAAAAGTTTTTAGAGCATGCAGGGACAGATACAGTAAACGAATAAGACTTAGCTGAATGACGAGGAAAACGAGAATGAATTTTAGTTGATGGAACTAGAGATGATAACTCCTTTGAGCAGTGACCATGATAGTATCTGTAGAAAAGAGAAAGAGATGCAACTTTACGACGATGGGAAAGAGGTTCAAGCTTAGCAGATAGTCCAGGTCCAACAACATTTACAATGCGTTTTTGGACCTTGTCAAGAAGAGAAAGTGAATCGTTAGAAGAACCAGCCCAAATATGACAACAGTATTCCATACAGGGACGAATAAGAGATTTGTAGAGGTAGAGAATGGAATCAGAAGTAAGGAAATGGCGAGCACGATAAAGAGAAGAAACCTTAGCAGAAGCTAATTTAGCAATTGATTGTATGTATGGTTTCGATGAAAGGTCAGTAGAAAGCGATAATCCAAGAAGACGTAAAAAGGAGGACTCAGTAAGAGGATTGTCATTCATTAATATAGGAATGTTGACCATATTACGGTAGTTGTTTGCAGTAAGCAATTGGGTTTTTTTAGAGTTGAAATTCACAAGCCACTGTGAACCCCAATCTATTACAGAAGTGAGATCAGATTCAAGATCAGCTGCTTGTCTAGGCGATCGAAAAGAGAAGACTTTTTGTCAAGACAGGAGTATAAAGTTGAGTCATAAGCAAAAAGAGCTACTTTAGATGAAAGGTTGTCAGGAAGATCGTTTATGTAGATAAGAAACAAAACAGGGCCCAGGATGGAACCTTGGGGAACCCCAGAAGTTACTGGAAATAAAGAAGAGTGTTGGCCTTCAAGGATGACTTTAATAAACCGGTTAGAAAGAAATGATTTGATAATCTCAAGAACTTTCCCAGAAACACCATATGAAGCAAGCTTATGGAGAAGACCAGCATGCCAAACTTTGTCGAAAGCTTTAGATATGTCGAGAGCAATAGCCCTAGCCTCACCGCCTCCATCTAATGCACGATAAAATCTTTCAGTTACAGATTCAAAGAATTATCAGGATAATTGTTCCATGTATCATTAACAGGTTTTCCTATTAAAAAATTTGATTCTGCATGAGATGTCTAAATCTTTGAAATTGCTAGAACTTGGTTCTTGATATAGCAATACTATACTAATAGTATATCAAGTATATATATACATAGTATAGCATATATTCAGTTTTAAACCGTTTCTTTCATTATCTGTAAAATTTCATTACCTGTATCAATATTACCACAATTTTCAAGTAATTGATAACAAAAACAAAAATTAGATGGAATGTGTCTATTAGTTGTTGTAAAAAGACTTCTTTTGTAATTGAAAAAAAACTTTATTAAAAATGTGTTACTTAAAAATTTTAAGAAATTTTGCGCGTGCGTGATTTAACTGATTTTTTTTTATTTAATCATAGTCTATAGAAATATACCCTGGTCTGGAAGCTATTGTTTTATTTATTTGTTTTCCGAGTTTTTGAAAAAAAGTCACGTGATCAATGTAGTTGCAAAACAAAGATTTAAATGGCTAACACTTTAAGTTACTCTCAACAAAATACAGTAAAAATCTTAGTCGATTTCTTATATAGCAATGATTTCGATGAAGAAATTGAAATAGAAATTGAAGACACAGGTTCAAGGGTAAAAATCATATAACAAAAATAAATTTAAATCTTGTATTTTTACAGTTTTAAACTAATCAAGTGTGTTAAAATTGCTTAAGTTAATTTAATCAACTTTGTCTTCAATGTTCAAAGTCATATAAAACTAAAGGAGGTCTTAAAAGACATATCGCGACGTTAGAATTATCTTGTGCTATCTCCAATTTTTGAAAAAATTGAGATTTTATTATTTTCGAGTATTTTAGCATTGTGTTGTTCTACTTTAATTATATTGAAAAAAAATGAAACTTTTAACACGGTATTGCATGCAATATTGCATTGTTCTTTCTCCTTAATGAGCAAACTTGAAAATATTATCTTGTTCTATATCCAATCAACCAATCATATTACAATTACAAAGTTGTTCGGAATAATTTTATCAGTTTTGTTGTTTTCAAAATGGCAACTGTAAATATTGACCAAGAAATGGAACCTGCCCTAAATCAAAACGAAGGTAGTTTTTCAACTTAATTTGTATTATAATTTTGGAAAATTAGAATTCGACTTTCGCTTGTGCCATTTTAGATTAAATTTAAAAGTTATTATTTATACATCCTGGATAATAAAAAATTAATATTTTAATCGTTAGAGCTGCTTGGCATTACACCTTCTTGTCGGTCGCCCCATGGTGGGGTTTCTAGGAAACGTAAAGCTGATAGGAGTAGTTGGAAACAAAGTGTAAGAAAAGTCCAACGTCAGTCGGGTAAAGCTTATAAAAATACGAAAGGAGAACAAATGCCAAAAAGATCTATTGTTGCACTAAAAAGTTGCAGAAATTGTAAATATAAATGTTCTACCAATATATCTGAGATTGAGCGTCAAATAATATTTGATAACTTTTGGACCTTAGATGATGACGGAAAAAAACATTTCTATTCTAAAACTACTGAAAATCTGGAGAAAAAACGCTGTCGGACAGCTGCTGGTGACAATTCAAGAAGAAAAACATCTTATTATTATAGCTTTTTTGTTTCTAATACACAATATAGAGTTTGTAAATCATATTATCTTTCAACATTGAATATTAGCAGCCATAGAGTGTTTTACTTTCATAAGTTTAACAAATCTTTAACTACTGGAACACCATTGCAATCAAAATCAGGGAAACATGTTAAAGATTACTAGAAGAGTCTAAACAAGTTGTACGAGACCATATTAACCTTTTCCCAAGAATTGATGCTCATTATAGCAGGAAAAAGACACATAAAGAATACATGGAAGGATCACTAAATATAGGTAGAATGTATGATCTTTATAAAATATATTGTGATGAAAATGTCTCTCCTCCAGCAAAAGAACATATGTATCGTTATATCTTTAATCACGAGTTCAATATAGAATTTCAAAAACCGAAGAAAGATTTATGTGACACATGCTATGAGTATCACAACATTGTTAATGCAAGCAATGAACAAACAGATAGTTATAATAAGCACATAAAATCAAGGAGTGATACCAAAACTGAACGTGAAAATGATCGCCAAAATGTTGATTCTAAAACTGCAATTGTTTGTATTGACCTTGAAAATGTTTTAAATTTGCCTAGAGCTAATGTGGGAAACTTTTATTACAAACGAAAACTTTCAAATTATAACTTAACTGGTCATTGCTCGCTTAACAGGAAGGGTTATTGCATCCTTTGGCACGAAGTCATGACTGGTCGTGGAGGAAATGATCTAGCCAGTGCTGTAACATGTTTGCTTTTGAAAATCATGGCTGACCTTGACATAAATAAGTTCATACTTTGGTTCGATTCATGTGTACCACAAAACCGCAATAGTTTCATGTCAGCAGCTTTGTGTGAATTTATAATACGATACCCACAAATAAAAGTAATTGAACAAAAGTTCTGCGAGCCAGGTCATTCCAGCATTCAAGAATGTGGCAACATTCATAGTCAGATTGAAAAATCCCTCTCTGCTGCAGAAATATTTAGTCCACTTGGGCTAGAAAGAGCTATTAAAAATGTAAACCGTAAAAAACCTTTCTGTGTTTACCAAATGCAATTAGGAGATGTAAAGAATTTTTCAGTTGTCGCTGGTTTGTCAAGTTATAAGTTAGTGCCTTATTCAAAGGTTAAAAATCTTGTTTATCGAAACGGACTGCCATACCATGTTTTTTTTAAAACCTCGTTTTCAGATAATTATTCACAAGCTCGTATAAATAAGTCTGTCAAGAAAGCAGCATCAACCATTGTTTCAAAACCATTAAATACCAATATACCAATGGCAGCTTGCTTTCGTGCTTCTTACCAGTCTATATCTGTTGCAAAAGCCAATGATATCATTTCCATGTATTCATACATGCCTGCTGTTGATATTGCATTTTATAAAACAATAATAAATTGAACATTTACAAAACATTAATAAAGTCAAAATATTTTTAGGGTTGTTATATGTTTAGTATAAATATAAATAACATATTTATATATATATAATAATATAAATTATATACATATAAATAACATATTTAAATAAAATATTTATTTAGTATAAATATAAATATAAAACACATTGAAATAATATTATTTTGAAATCTTGATAAAAATTTTTGTTTAGCTTGTGTTTTTTTTTTTTTTTGTACTTTTATATTCATTTTCCCTCACTTGTTTGGTTTGGATGGTTTTCCATAGTGACATAAAGGCCACTATGAAAGAGTTAAAGCAATATTTCACAACCTGATGCCCTTCCTGACGTTAACTTGAGTAACAATTTTTTATTAGTAAATATTTGCAATAACTTTTAATAAAAAGTTAAACTCTATTAATGGATACACAGGCATAAGAAAAATAAAATCAAGTTCATCTTGCATGGAGTTTGTGATTAGATTAGTTGAATTGTTGTGAATTATCAGATAGTTACATAATGTTATTTCTTTTATTATTACACTTTTTTTAACATAACTCTTTCCTATATACCTTTCATAATTTATTTTATACGTTTTTATTATATTAATACGTTTATATTATTATTACGCAGCCATATTTTCCGTTTTAAATTAGACGTCTTAAGCCCGTTCTCCATTCAGAACTTTTTGCGCTTTGGAGGAGCGGAAAAGTTCTTTGATCATGCGCAAAAAGTTCTGATTGGAGAACGGGTTTAAAAAAACTGTTTGCGCATGCTCAAAGAACTTTTCCGCTTCTCTAAAGCGCAAAAAGTTCTGAATGGAGAACGGGCTTTAGTCTTGTCCAGGGCCGGCGCCTACAGGTAATTAAAGTAAATGTAAGTCGTAAGAACAGTGTCGTTAGAGGCTCTTCTAAAAGTTCTCCTAATTAGGGCCTCATTTTATTTAAAAAAACTTAATTTTTTAGGTAATACAAAAAGCGTCTTATATTTTGAAAAGGGTCCCGTTAAATTAGGGGCCCATAATTTTAGGGGCCCATGCCCATAAATTTGGAGTGTATGGTACTGCGTAAGAATAATTAGCAGGTAGAACAAAATTTCATCAATTTCTAACATGTCGTTGTTGAAAAATGTACTTAATATGTTTAATATATATGATGTAACAACATAATATTTTTGAATTTTACTAAAAACCAAAGTTATTTTGTTCTATCTCCAAAGAGGGTGCGAAAAAAAGGGCGTTAGCGTAATTTTAAAAAGTTTTTTTTATCTAAAAATTAATAATAAAACATTTTTAAATCTTAGGAAATACCTAAATTCTCAAAATATTTTTTCAATTTAGCTGCGAACAAATTCAAACTTTGACATCGATTTTCTCAGTTTGCAAAAACATGGAGATAGCACAAGATAATTCTAACGTCGCGATATGCTATCAAAACATATGACCAATGAAGATGAAATTTCTTGTATCGGCATTGAAGATATTGATTCATTAATTGCACATACCAAAAAAAATATATTAAATACATCCTATTATCCCAATGACTTAACAATACCTATTAAAAATTATAATTTATTTGTAACTGATCAGTTTTATGCTGAAACTAAAAAGTAATTTATAGAACTTTGTAAGCCTGGCGATGTAGAAAGATATTTTTCTAAAATATATGCAGACTTCCCGGTGGCAAATCGGCTAGCGAATAGCTAGCGATATTCGTTACGATTAAGACAGCGATTTGGCCACGAGGATCGTTAGCTTTAAAAGCTAGCGATCCGCTAGCTAAACAAGCTAGCGAATAGCTAGCGATATTCGTTACGATTAAGACAGCGATTTGGCCACGAGAATCGTTAGCTTTATAAGCTAGCGATCCGCTAGCTAAACAAGCTAGCGAATAGCTAGCGATATTCATTACGATTAAGACAGCGATTTGGCCACGAGGATCGTTAGCTTTATAAGCTAGCGATCCGCTAGCTAAACAAACTAGCGAATAGCTAGCAATATTCGTTACGATTAAGACAGCGATTTGGCCACGAGGATCGTTAGCTTTATAAGCTAGCGATCCGCTAGCACTAAGTCGTTACGATAAAGACAGCTATTTGGCCACGAGGATCGCTAGCTTTATAAGCTAGCGATCGTTAGCTAAACAAGTTAGCGACAAGTCGTTACGATAAAGACAGCGGTATGGCCACGAGGGTTGCTAGCTTAATAAGCTAGCGAATAGCTAGCATTAAGTCGTTACGACAATGACATTGATTTGGCTAGAAAATCTCGGCTAGGTTAGAAGATATGCTCAAAGAATCGCGTGCTATTTTTTTCAGGGGAATGAATTATAACCATTAAAATAAGATTGCATTTATAACAAATTAAATACAAAATGTTAATACTTGTTTCCATAAAAAGTTATAAATGTTAAAGCCATTATAAAATGTTAAAAAAAAAGTTATAGATTACTTTTGAAAAATAAAAAGTCATTAACAACTAAATGATTTTGCCTAATTTAAATTAATAATTTCAAAAGATATTTAAAAAGATAATAGAATAAAATTTCTGTCAAATTTTAGTTTTTTTTGAAATCTTTATCAGTTTTCGAAAATAATTGCTAAAAAAGTTGTAACAAATAAAATATCTAAAAAAAAAAAAGTCAATAAAAAATAATAGAACAAATAAACAAAAAAAAATAAGTTTACTGGAATCACTACATGAGTCAGTGTTTAAATTTCTTTTTTTTCTAACAGGACTGTGTTTTTGTATATCACTTGTTAAAGAAAAACTTCTCTTTCTTGCAGCAAAGTAACGATCTTTAGACTTTTTCAAGTGTTTCGCAATTATTGTAGTCATACTGGATTCAGTGGCAGTTGGAAATAAACAGTAAGCTGCATCAAAAATCAAACTTTTGACTGGTCCTATAAGCCTACGCTTTTTATCTGCACCAGTTCGATTAATGCTGCAGCACAGCTTGTCTGTTAAACAAGTTTTTAAAGCATTTTTTAAAAAGTCACTTACATTTCTCCCATCAATTTTCTTTAACTTTCTGCAAATGATATCTTTATCATTAGAGTTAATTATTTTATTTTCTAGTGAGTCAAACTCTTCAACTGAATTAGCTGGTAAATAATCTATATTAATATTTTCTTTATTACCATGATTAGTGTCTAAAATTGAACGCATGGAACGCATTTCTGTTTCCAACCCACAAAGTTTTCTGTACATGGAGTTCACTATAAATTGAATGCCTTCAACAGTATTGGGTTCAACATTTGCTTTCCGAATAAAGTTATTTATTTGGTCTATCCCAGTTTTTTGAGATGGTAAAGAAAAGGAAGAAGATGAATGCAGTAACGGTTGAACTTGTAAAACAGACTGCATTTCCGATGGAAAGAATATCTGTGTAACTGGCAAGTCATCTACTTGATCCATTGAGGCAGAGACGGACAAAAAGTTCTAAACAAGATTAACAATGATTATACTTTTTTTTTTTCTAATTAAAAAATGGTAACTAAAAAAAGCATATAAACCATAAAAAGTGAACAAAAAAAATATTATTTTTACGAATGGGATAAAGTTTTAAAATGTATACTGAATCGGAATCAGGAAGCTTTGGTGGCTCCCATAATGGTAATGATGGTAAAGGAGGTTCTTCAAAAAAACTTTTTTTTTTCTCTTTCTGTTTTATTGACTTAAAGGAGTTTTCTTGTGTTTTTTTTTTGATGTATTAAAATCAATTTCTACTTCTGATTCTGCAGTAAGAATATGCTAAAAAAAATAACTTTTTTAATATACATACAATCATAGCTTTATACAATATACATATCATAGATCTTCAATGCAATATTTTAAAAATCCGGAAATTTGTTTGGGTAAAATAACCGGAAAATATTTTCTC